AAGATGATTTAGCAGTACAGTTTTCCTTTTTAAGAAGCTGAAAATGACCAAAAAGGAAAGCAAAAGGGAAAGGATTATCCACTCCTTAAAGATTAAGGAATTTAGAATCCAGTTTAAAATATTAAATGACAGACTTTATTTAGACATGGAAGCCATGTGCTTGGTGTCTTTAACTTTTTAAAAATAATATTTTTTTTAATATAAAAATAATTCATAAATTACACTTCTGTTAACTTGGGGTACACCTAGGTAACTTTCAGAGTGCATTAGTGCCTGGGCACACCAGTTGAGAAATGCTACACTAAGCTATTATCTCATGGGACAATAGACTAAATGTAGATTAAATTATGCTCAATAAAATCAACTTCATTTCATGGTCAACTGCTCTTTATATCAAACTAAGTTAACTTTTGTGAATAAAGTCAAAAAGAGTGTAGAAAGATTTGCTAATCCCTCAAGGAAAGGCCTGCCTTTGAAAACATCTCATACTGAGTGCATGCTTTTATAGTCAAGCATTCTTTATGCTTTTAAGCAGATATCAGATGAATTAACATCTGCATGTGGCCAATCTATTGCCTCCAATAATCACCTTCCTCTTTATTTTGGAATAACAACTCAGTTGGGATAATTCAGATTAGAGAACCAAAGCCAGCCAGCACCTCAAACATTCTTCTTTTATGTGCCATGTTGCTTCAAGTCATTCTTCCCTGCAACTTCCCGCCTTTTGTTGATCGTAGTAACTGTTCCATTTTTCACTCATTCTACTATCCATAAACTTGTTAAGGATGTTCGCCAATACCTATAGTTTTTCTTGCCTTTAATACGTCTTTTCAGTTTCACTTGTTGAAAAGGTCCTTCATATTAGATCTTTATACCAAATTGTTTGGTCAAAGCTTTTAATTTGGATATGAATTTTACCAATTAAGATGTCGTTTAGAATTTATTACACACAATGATCATCCATAGTTGTTGTGATCTAATCATGTTTTGTTTTACAGATATAGTATCTGCATCTCATATTTATACAGCTTAAGGTGGCTGAATTTTAAATTTAGAAATTTCCTTCTGAGACTTATAGACAACCATGGCAAGAGAGCCCAATCTACTGTGCTATATTTAACCCATAGCAGGAGAGAGAAGAGATGGATTCATTCCTTTCCAGCACATCCGAAATTATACATAAATAAAATCAGTGATGGCAAATATCAGAAATATATATATATATATATATATATATATACACACACACTCGACTCTCCCATCGAATTCGATGTATGAGGGCCAAGCAGATCAGTTCCTAGGAAACCGACAACAGTACATGAGATCTGATTATAGTGGTGAAGGTTTTGTGCAGGATCATCCACACTTTTCGAAGGGCCAAATACAGAGACCTGGTGCACTATGTGCCACAAGGTCCCCAAAAGACCCTCCACAAGTTTTGAATTCAGTTGTCCTTCTCCTAGACCAGTTGCCATCCAAGGCTATAGAACCCAGTCTGTCCTGCTATTTACCCATAGCTGGAGAGAGAAGATGATTCACACCTTTCCCAAGGGTATTAGCATGTAAGTGAATGTAATGGATTTGACTGGAATTTGAACTCGGCTCTCCGATTCCTCAATCCAAGCCGCTATCCATTACTCCACCATGCCTCCTCTTATTTATTTATTTATATATATATATATATATATATATATATATATATATATAATTTCTGACATTTGTCACCACTGATAGTCATTGTTCTCTTTTCACAAGCAATTATGGAAAGTTTCTTTGTACACAAGTATGATTTTTTTTTTTTTTGTAAAATGGATGTGCATGCAAGTAGGGAAGCAAAACTTATAAAAATCTAAACTTTCCCACTAATCACTACATTGGATGATGCGAAACTAGTTGCAGAACAATATATGCTGTCAGCTATTAATACACTTATACAAGGAATATCATGAAAAATGGTTTCATTAAAAGACATGGAGAAAGTTCTAGATTGCTTCACACATGAATCAACTTGAAAAGTATTGCCAATATAGTACACTGTCCACAATGTCAAAAAGCCCACAGACAAGGACAACAGCATCTACAAAAAGGTGAATAGCAGTGGGGTTAGCACCCTCAGAATCAAAATTGCTAAGGATTTGACAATATCCATATTTAAGAGCTGCCAAGCTAAGAGTGGAGCCAAAGACAGAATGTCCATGCATTATGATCTAAGTCTTAAAACAAATACCAGGACACCAAGATATCTCCTCAGAGTACACAGGTGAGGAGGTTGGAAAGAGTTCAGGTATCTCAAGAATCATTTGTTTGCTGTATTGAATTACCGAAACAGCCTTTGTGAAGTCAACATCTGATTTCAATTGCACCATCAGGACTAAACATCCAGCCTGGGTCATGATCTGGGTATTGTGGACAAGCTCAAAATTATATGTGGATTCTGTTGCCTGGTACAAAGTTATGAAGTACTAGCTTTTGTCATGGCACAAAACCAACTACCCAGAAGGCCCCAAGAGGAATCTCTTAGCCACATAACCAAGAATGTGAAGGTGGTATGGCTTTTCTTTAGTCTGGACCTGATACCATTAGACTGTCATTTAAGGTGCTTTAGAGTAGGCCACCCAAAAGATCTCATCAATATTTTCAAGGCTGCTATCAAGGAGATGAACCAAGATGTCTAAAGAATTCTTGGTTAAGTGTTATTCACCTTTTTTTTTTTTTGAGGTTGTTTTAGGGCTATCCTTGAAAATAATTGAAGCCACATTAAATCAATGATTTTGAGGATTTTGTTAATATACTTTTTTTTTTTTATTAATTGACCTATTCATGTAGAAGTTGTTAACCTGGATTTGTCAGTGGAGTGGCTTCCTGTTGCCTTCTCCATGGTGGTTTATGGAGACACCACCTCTAGTTAGCTGGCCGTTGACTCAGAGTCCTTCCACCTGAGTTTTGAAAGTCACAACAATTTTGTAAGTTTTGCTTTCCCATTCTGTATATTAATTCAAACTTAACATCAAAGTCATGCACATTTTTAGATTAGTAGGTTATTATTTTGTCAGTTTATATGAATTTTGACCACTAGATTTGTAAGCACACATGATAAAAAGCTTTTGGGATTTAGTTTTTATTGAATTTCAGTTATTTTATTCATAATCCTATGTATGGAGGAGGAGGAGGAATTATGAAGATTTTCTTGTAATGTGCGAGATAACATTTAAACATTGATCAAGTTTTACTTAATGTTTTGCCTTTGGCAGGGCGATGGGTTGGTGGGTTGACAGAAAAAGAAAATTAAATTCAACAAACATTTGAATTTTAATTATTTTAAGAGCACCCACCCACAATCCATAAAAATGTACTCCACCATGCATAGATTAAAGGGGGCTAGGAGAAACCAGTGTACCTGGAACTGAATAGTCATTTAATTCAGATTAATAAATTAAAGATTTATAGAAGTTGGATTCATTAAATAATTAAACATAACTGAAAAATGCACATTTGAAAAAATAAAAGTAATTTCAGACTGTTTAACTTGGAATAAAAAAGGCATTGGTAGTAGAAGAAAAAGCAATGCCTAATTGTAAAATATTTTATTATTGTGGCCCCCTGAAAAAAACAAACCACACAACAGGAATATGTAAGCTGAAAATACAAAGTTTCTAAAATATTTCACCTTGGGAAATGCAGAAGTCAAAAGGGAATAGTTTTCCAAGGATAATACATTCTAAGATTTTTGCCTGTATGTGTTTTTCTTTTCAGTAAAGTTCAAAATTATTAATGGCATTATAACTGGGCAAGAGCATCAGACATCCCCATAAATTCAAGGTTCATACATCTAATTTGGTTATGTGAAGGAAGGTGGATAAAGCTTATCAGAAACTGAGAAAATTTTAGATTATTAAAAAAATTATCATTGCTTCAATGATATTGAACCAAAGTGTTTGCATAAGCTAGAAATATAAAATTTTACATTATCACTGTGCAATCCAATAAGTAATCAAAACAAACAATTTTGTGCTATAATTGTGGAAATCTCTTGCAGGGCTTAAGAGTCATTGCAGATTACACAATTTATAGGGCACTTGAACATATTTCATTGATTTTTATTCTATTCAATTAATTATTCAAGAAAGCTGATCAGTTTTCTTTTTTTTCCACTTTTATAACTTTCCTATTGAAACACCAAGATTAGATTGTCTTCAGATTTATAAAAGAAGTGTTAAAAAGATTGCAGTTATCTATTGGGAGATCAATCCTTGATCAAGTAATGAAAGTCACATACTTTGGTTTAGCAGAAACATCATAAGTGATAGAAATAATGAGAAGTAATTCATATTCAATCAGCTAAAGACACCTGAAGACAGGTGGAGAGTATTGAGACAAAAGGTGTTTATAACAACCAAAATGAAAACAATAGCTTTCATAAGTCTATGTATTACAATAGGCTCATCTTAGTTTGTTATTTAAGGAAAAAGATATTTTCACTTCTCACACACACTGTGCATGTGAAGAGTGCTTAGCCCAACCAACTTCTTAAAATCTGACCAAAAATAAGGGTTTCTTAATTGAGCAGAGTTTTTTTTTATGCCTCATGCATATCTGCACACAAAAGCTGCATGATATCTGCAAGCCTGACAGTTTTATCAGCTGAATTTTGGTCTGAAATTTTCACTGCATAATATTTACCACTGAATTAAGTGCATAGACAAGGAAGGAGATTATATTGAAAATTAATATTTATTTCCCACATTTTGAAATATTACTGTACTTCAGTAAAAGGATATTGTTTAAAAACCCAAGACTACTACCTTGAAGTTTATGGGTAGGTAAGAAGCTACATATTTCCAGTGAATTTTATACTCAATGCCAGATAAAATCTATATATATATATATATATATATATATAGGGGTGAAAAAAAAAAAAAAGTCCTGCTCTGTAGCATCCCCGCCAGGTGTCAATTAGATCCGTAGTATATAAAATGGAACATAAAGCAAACGGTAGATACCTGTGCTGATGTCCTTCGCAGAATGCTCTAAATGATCTGGGAAGAAGTTACAACAAGGGGAGAACAAATTAAAAGCAAACAAAAAAGTGAAAAACTCAAGCATTAAAAAGGAAAAGTATTCAAATTAAATTAGATAAAAATATCACAAAATCAAGAACCTCTCAAAGAATATTAGAAAGTTACTAATAGGAGTCACTTTAGCAACAAGTTTTGTTGCCAAGGTAAATTCCTTAGTGACCAAAAGTTGGTATTTTAATTGATAATGACAATTACAATGCATTACAATTCGTATTAAAATTTGATGTCAGGACCTTTGCTCTGTTTTTTTCCCCCCTCTCTCCCCCACCATTTTTGAAAATTGTATTGTCACATTCTTGTATCTGAGAAAGCATGAAAAAGCTTGATAGGATAAATATTTGAAGAGAAAAGACCATTTCAATACAAGATTGATAGAATAAATTTGTAAATGCAGCATTAAGTATTATTATTAAAAGGAAAATAAAAAGGTATTTTAGTTTTACAAAATTACTATCTCAAGAAGATTTAATTTTATTGGATTGAAAAAAAGTTCCAATATTCAAAAATATATAAATTTAGTGAATAAAGGCTTTTTCCTCTTGAGAACCGATGACAGATTCATTCATTAAAGAGCTAAACATGTTACATGGCCAAGATTAGATCATTATTTGCAGGATAGACAAATCTACTTAATGTGATCTTTTTCTTTTTTAAAGAGCAACAGGATTCAGCTTTACACATTAAATAAATTAAATTAAAAATTAATTTTAAACTTAAAGTTTTTTGTATTTGACCAAATATTGTGACAAAGTCGTCCCCTCAACACAGAATAAACAAAATCCTACCATAAATTGTTAGAGTGGGTCCTTTACAAATATTATTAAAAATGATGAATTAAATAAAACTGTACTTAATTATTAGCAAAAATAAGGGGAAAGTTAAGTCCATGAGAGGTTCTTTTACTATGATTAAGAAACTACAGGAAAAAAAAAAAAAATACATTTTTATAAAAAAAGTTACAAGAAAAGTTTTAATTGCAAGATTCAACAGCAAAAAATATTGATAATCTTTTACCTATTATAAAAAAAAAAAGAAAAAAGAAATACAAACAGAACATTAAATGTTAAATTAGGTTAGCAAAAATGTAATATTTAGTTAAATGTACATAAAGATGTTTAACAAAACAGAAAGTGCCAGATTCCTTTGTACAATAAAAGGATATAAACAGCTTTAACAGAATTACTTTTATTAACCCTTTAACAAATCTGTTTTCAAGTAATAAACTTTAAGAAATTGATTTTTCATTGAAATATCCACAGAAATATTGGTCTACTAGAACAATATAAGATTATCATTTAAAGTGGAATAAGTTTTAAAACAGACCAATGTCTGTTTACAAATTAGATTATTTTAAATTATTAAAAAAAAATGTAATTGCAATAACTGATTATTACAGAGTAATTGACTTATTTGGAATATAATTCTGGTATAGATCAATTTAAGTACTTTGTAATAAAATTTTTTTTTTATTTCTAAAAATGTTTTTTTTTTGTATAAGTTTTTCAGAAAGAACAAAAACCCCCCAAAACAATTGTTTTTTATTAAAAATTACAAGTTATGGTTTTACTGGATATAATTAGTTTTGTTATATAGTAGCAAAAGGGTTAATGTGGCAAAAGATGATTTATAGATATTCAAATTATCTCCTCAGTATCCCAACCTCTATAATTATGTATATGACCTGGCATTAATTTATGCATTAATTAATGAAAACTTTCACAAGCAAAAATTGCTCACATTAAGCATTTTTTTGTCCTTATAATAAGACAAAAGTTTCTGATATTTATAGAACCTCACAAATTCAATTTTGATTGGCTTTGAAATATAAAAAGCAAGAACAAAATGTTGAAGTGTGTGTGTATATATATATATATATATATATATATATATATATATATATATATATACACACACAAATTTTTGCAACAAGAATTCATTTAAACAAGTCTTATTAAATTCAACTTATTAAATCAAGGTCTGTGTGCTTTTTTTCTTTTTTAAATTTTTTTTTTATTTATTATTATTGTATTTTTCCAATTATTATGGAAGTTGTTGCACATCCAGATCAAAATTGTGGATAAACTGTTTAAATACTGGAGTTGTACAAGAGACACTGCAGCTGGAAATCATTTTTTTCTTTTTTCATAGTAAGCACTCCAGATCATAAATATTGGAGGAAAAAAAAAAAAAAAAAAAAAAAAACAAAAACAAAAAAAAAAAAAAAAAAAAAAAAAAAAAAAAAAAAAAAAAAAAAAAAACCAGCATGGAGTTTATTTATTTAAACATACTGTAAATTGATCCATGGAAAAAGACAAAACAAATATCTTCATATAACAATTAAAAAAATTTTGAAATGCATAATCTGTAATTCTTTCATACATTGCTATTGATTATGTCCTCCAGATTATGAAAAAAAAAAAAAAAAAAATTTTTTTGAGTACTTTTGACAGTTAATAGGCATCATGAACAAAAGTTTTGTTAACTACAACCTGACATTTTTTAGTGTCACATTTCAACTTTAAATGCATGTAACACAAGTCATGTAGAATGGTTCCACTAAGTTAGCACTGAAAACATTAAATATTTTATATTTATTTTAAGTATTTATGCACATTCTAAAATGTCATCTCCTGTAGTGAGAGATTTTATTGTTCCTTTTGTATAATAATGGTTTAGGATATTTTGTGTCTTTCCTTACAGTGAGTGCTGTATAGAATTTTGATATTATCTAATAGTTTTCTTTCAGTTGTTTGTGATCAACACAAATTGCACTAAGTTTCAATAAATGAAAACTTAGATTCAGTCAGTTGTGTGCCATGCATGATACATGCTTGTATCTTTTGATATATGACTGACGAGGCAGATTTTTCCCCCGCAGTAGGTTGCTATTTCATTCTGCAGAAGACCAATTACCATCCAAGGCAACCTGGTCTGTTCTGCTATTTACCCATAGCTGTCAGGAGAAGAGGATTCATACCTTTCCCAAGGGTATTAGCACGTAATTAGAATGTAATGGTTCCAAATGGAATCTGAACTCATCTGTCAGATTGCTTAATCTGAGCCGCTATCCATTACTCCACTGTGCCTCCAAAAACATGAACTTTGGACAGTTTATTCACAATTATCCAAAAGTTAGATGAAAAAAAAAAAAAAAAAAAAAAAAAAAGACATTAAACAGACAGACTTTATCAGTTGAATTTAATTATGTGTGTGGTGTGAGAGGTGCTAAGGAGTTCTTGGCCCATCCAACTTTCCAAAATCTTACTAGGAAGTGATTTCAGGTTTTATTTTTAAAACCTTTATTGAGCCAAGAAATTTTTAGCACCATGTGTGTGTGTGTTACTTACGTGGTTTAAAACAATATAACAAGTACAATAGAAGACAAAATGGAAGCCATGGATAAAACAGTTAAATAGGTTATTATGGAAACAATAATTGAGAAACAGTTTGATAAAAAGAAGCAATTATTTACAAGTTGTAGAATAAAATTAAAACTACCAGAAAAAAAAAAAAAAAAAAAAAAAAAATCTAGCAATCTAAATCTATGAAGAGTAGAAACAAAATAAGAGTGCAGGAAAAGACAAAAGATTTATTTAGGATAAAATGCTAAGTCAAATCTTAACATGCAGTAAAGAATAAAAAAAAAAAAAAAAAAAAAAAAAAAATTATAAGGAGAAATAACTTATTCACGCCTTGCTATAATACAGAGTTTTAGGATTATTTCTACTTTTTATTAGAGAAAGTATTTTAATTTTAAAGATTTAAAAATATCATTCTCATATGAAAAGGAAAGAATTAAGACAAGTCATTATTTGTAGCTGGTTCAAAGTTGTTACAAGAATGAGGTCAGTTTCATCTTATAATGAAATATTTGGCAAAGTTTAACAATTGTATCTGGCAAAAAAGAAGTATGAATTTTTTCTTGGCACTGCTATTATAGTATATTCACTCAGCAATTTTTATGGTTTTAAAAAGCCATTTTTACAATATTAATAAAACCCAAGTATACGAGACTGAATTTTTATGTATTTTTTTGTGAATTGACAACGAAAATATTAGTTATATTAGACAGACATTTTTATGAGTTTATGGAGGAAAAAAAAAAAAAAAAAAAAAAAAAAAGGATTTGCTAGTTATTTCTTTACAATATGGTAAAGAAATATTGCATTGTAGGTGGTACACATTATTATAAACTTTGAATATATAACATTGTTGTAAATAAACAATCTAATAAAAGTGTATAATTCTTTTGTTGTCAATTCTCATGAAAAAAAAAAAAAATATTAAAAGAATGCATAAAAATCAAATCTCATATGTTTGGAGTTTATTAAAATTCTAAAATAGCCTTTTACAATGACAGAAATTATTGAATGAATATACAATAATAGCAGTGTCAAGAGAAGACCTGTCCTTCTGGAAAAGTTTTTTATTTTTACGAGTACAATTGTTAAAGTCTGCCACAAGCTCTTACTCATATATGCTCTACCAACTACCACCCCCAGTTATTTTATATATATGATTAGTGCAAATATAAAAATTTGCCACCTAGCTGATGAATTTGAGTAAACATTCCGTTGATTTTTTTTTTTTTTTTTTTTTTTTAAACAGTATCTTATTTCATCTACTAGCCTGAACATTGAGAAATTTTATCTTAAGAAAAATGAGCCCTCCGGCAGGATCCAAACTTACATCTTCCTTTGCAGAAGCCATGCATTAACCAAGGTTCTATTTTTGCCTTCAAGCATATTTCACTAATTTAGATACTTGAAAATTCATAACTGCTCCAAAACATAAATGAAGCAATTTCTAAAGAAACAATGGATTTTTATTTATTAATCCAACAAATATATATATATATATATATATATATATATATATATATATATATATATATATATGTGTGTGTGCCTCAAATTCAATATGGATATCTTAATGCTTTATAAGTTTATAAAATCTGC